CTAAGATGACCGGTTCAGTTATATGTTATCTTAAAAGACAAAGTGCAGATAGTTATACATAACTTGGATACTTAAATAGTTCACGGCGACTAGTTTGGTTAACCTAGTGATGTGCCCAAAGAAAAGAAAAGTTATAGTGCTCTCTGTTTGTATATATTCTATGGCTGACTCGGAGCTAGACAGGTTCCCATAAGATTGGGTGGTCTAGCTTTATGCCTTATGTAAGCTGGGGATAAAGGGGATAAATCATTAAAAGTTCATGAACTATTATTTGATAAGGTTGGTTTTGGGTTGGTGAGAGTACTTACCTTTGTAGTTTGACCTGCATGTGGCCGAGTGAGACTACTACTTAGTCTGAGTTTCAGTTTGATAGGTAGTTGCTTTAGCTTCTCGCCACGTGCTAGAGTTATAAGAGATAGTTTCAATTCATGCATTTTCTGAGCCAAGTTTATTTTTACTTAGGTCAAATTTTGCATTTTCTGGATCATTTATTATACTTGGCCTTGTATAAATCTTGGTAAGCTACTTTCTCTACGGGAAGCGCTGCCGAAATTTCTACAAAATCAAGGAGTTAGTAAGATTTTGGTTTTTCAAGGTTCAATTTGTTTGACTTTTTGGCTTAGTAAAAATATGGAAAGACTTTTTTCTAAATGGAGTGCTGCCCAAATTTTTGTTACTTCAGGAGTTAGAAAAAATTGAACCTTGAGAAGTCAAAGTCGCTTTCGATTCTGAACACTTTTTCAAAGAAAGTGCTGCCAAAATTTCCACAAAACTAAGGAGTTAGTTAAATTTTGTCTTAGTTGAACTTAGGTCTTGCTTTTGAGTTCATATCTAACTTAGTAAAAATCTGAAACGTTTTCTTTCCTAAAGGGAGTGTTGCCCAAATTTTTATTAATTCAGGGAGTTAGATAAAATTCGACTTTCCAGACTTAGAGATTGTTTTTGTTTTCATATTTGAGTTAGTATAAATTCTGAGAAGACATTTTTCCTACGAAAAGCGTTGTCAAAATTTTCTTAGTTTAAGAGAGTTAGCCTGCATTTTGACAGGTGGTAGTTCTGGCAATCCACCCTGAATAGAGGAGATGCTACCATAGGTCTACCTCGCGTTGGGTACTGGCTTAGAGTTGGGCCAAGGCTTAGTTGTAGGAGAACCTTGAGTGAGATTGTGATATTTAGATTATTCTCCATGGACTCATAGATTTAGCTTGGGGATTGACTTGTCTTGTGTTACATGTTCTCTTGATCGTTTGATTCAAGATTTATAATAGATTCAGCTTAATCCCACGAGGATCATCTTCTGTTATCATTGATAACAGGTCGGTTGCCGACTCATCGGTTTACGACGCAACTCCAATTCATCCTCAATACTCAACCTAAAAGGCTTTAGCCCTGGTGGGTTTTATTGTTTTATAAAGGTTTTCACTCAAACTTTTTTTGAATGGTCATTTAACAAAGGTACTGAGTATTTAATTATGGAAGGTTGGACAAAGGTTGGGCCTTGGATGACTAAAGCGAGGGGTATGAGTATAGAGAATGGTTGAAGCTGACTCCGCGTAGTGTGTGGATATTTGGTTGACTCTTTGATGTGATTGCGCGTATGTTATGTGGTTTAGACTTTGGATTTGATTGCCTGCAGTCACATACATATATATGGTTGTGAGGAGTCTCACTGTGATTGTGAGAAGTGATCGTCACATACTTATTCCCCTTCTATTATTGTATGTTTTCTAAAGGTTTCTTTGTCAGACGTTGGTCTTGGGCCTAGATTCGAGGTCCTCGTTCAGGACATCCCAAGTCCTAGACTCTGCATGGAAGGGATCACCCCCCGCGCAGAGCCTATTTGCCATGCTCACCGGAACACTCAGCCTAAAGACCGAGGGTGCCGTGAGGGTCGCACGGTTGTTCCTTCAGCCGTGCAATATCGTGAAGAGGTTGACCTTCACGATACTTTGAGTTTGACACCTGAGTGTCATAAGCGGTACTCCGATTCACGAAGAACCGCTTGGTTATGGGCACTACGTAGTACGCCATCATTGCGACTACTTGCGTATTCATGCATTGCTAGTCGATATGGGAAGGTCCTGCGTCAGTCCCACGCGCATCGCCCATCCGATTTCCGCATCGAAAAGTTATGGGATGGCTACTGAAGGGACTAGGATTGTGTGCGTTGTTTTATTTGTGTCGTTTTGTGCGTGTGGGTGTAAGATAGAATTTGTGAAAACCTAACCAAAAAAATTCAATTTGTTAGGTTTGCACGAATTTTTTTTAAGATTCTTATAGTACATTTTTCAGGCCTCCTACATGAACAACATTCTATATGAAGTAAATTAACCACAAAAAATGAATAGAAAAATATTTTTTCAAAACCACTGGAAGTGGTGAGGAGAGAAGCAAATATTTTTACAAAAAAATCACTATCCTGTAAAGCACCGTTTGTTCAAGAATCGAAATATCTTTTTTTTATTTAAAAAAATTAAATTTATAGCTCTATAAGGTATGAAGCACGATGAAACGATTCGGGGGTTTCCCAAATACGCACATATATTCTCCTATTCACAAATACATTCTCTTGGATATGTTACCGTATACATGGACGAATATATTATTTTTTATTAAGATATTTTTTTATTTTTTTATTTTAAATCGTGGTTGGCTAAGAATTTGAAGATGTCCCTGAGGCAAAACTTGTTTGAATTCTTCTTTTACATAACATATATTTTTTGACAAGGATTTTACAGTAAACTTATAAATGGATTATATTAATCTATAGTTCTATAAACTAGTTTTCGCAGAACTTGGTTTTTACCAAACTGCTAAAAACGACTTATAGTTCTATAAATCAATATTCATTGAAACTGTTTTTTTTTTAACGTTTTTCGAGTTCGTCTTGTAGTCCTTAGAGATTGTGTTACATCTTCGACTCACACGGGTCCTACCGGACCCGACTTAGGGTCGGAGGGACACACCAGGGCCTAAAGGCCCGACCTTTGGGGTTACAGG